TTTGATCCTTCCAAATTAAGGTTTCTCGAAATAAATAACACATGGATAACCGATCTTACGTTAAAATCCACAAATACAGTACAAACAATCACGTTTTAATGATAATTTTTTTTATTAGAACTCAAATAATATAATAAACAGAATTTTAAAAAATAAAAAATAAATATTTTTATTATATAATTAAAAATAAAAATATTTAATTTTTTAAAAAATGGAGGAGTAATTATTTTGATCCTTCCAAATTAAGGTTTCTTTAAATAAATAACACATGGAAGACCGGTCTAACGTTAAAAGCAGCCATACAAATTTCAAAAATATGAAAAATCCACAAATACGGTGCAAACAATCACGTGCAGCCGGCAAAATCCAGCAAGATGCCTCCCAGAGTATTCCCAACACTAGGCATAAACCAACCCGCCAATGATGTCATTGTGGGGCTCTTATCAACATCCTAGTAATTTGAATTTTGCCCAAACACTTGCACAAAGTAATAATTTTTACGCAAAACTAATTTCATTATTAGTCGATCACGTGTTTTGCGTAAAATTTTGGTATTTTTAATGTTTAAAGATTATTTTGATACAAATCCAAAAGTTGAGAGATTAAATTGATATTTCAAAATTTTTGAATATTTTAAAGTTTCTAAATTATTTTTGTATTTTTTTAACTCATAAACTATGAAAAATGTATTTTTTTTATCATTCTATCAATTAATCTATTAAATATATCTATTCATACATCTCTAAACTTATAAATTTAGAAACTAAAAATTTACATATATTAATTTGAGACAAAAAATATATGTATTTCAACAAATTTAATGGAAATGGACTAACGGATAGAAAGACAAAAGGTATGCATTTTTTAAAGTTGAAAAATGAAAAAAGTGTAAAAAAAAATTAAGGGTAAACTTTATTTAAATTTAAAAGTTAAAGGACTAAATTTGACATTTAACAAAAAAAAAAAAAAGATAGAGACTGACAAATGAATCAAATTGCAGTGTTTGGGCTTCCAGCCCAGAATTTGGACCGAATTGACTCAACCTATTCAATTATGTCTGATCCTGTTCAGATGCAATATGGCTACTTTTAGAACATAGTCACAAGTAGAGGGCAATTTTATTTTTATATAAAGATTAAGCTTAAGTTGTCAGATGAGGGCTCAAGAATAATATTTAATGAATGGAACTGGTTATTGACATGTACGATGTGATGGAAGAAATGGGGGTATATGGCTTAATAACATTTGATAGAGCTGGCTATGGAGAGAGTGATCCAAACCCAAATCGCTCAGTGAAGAATGAGGCATTTGATATTCAAGAACTTGCTGACCAGCTCCAATTCGGAGCCAAGTTTTATGTGATTGGTGTCTCCATTGGGACTTATTCCATTTGGGCATGCCTCAAGTACATTCCCCATAGGCCTGTTATTTTAAATCGTCATGCTTTCTTCCCTTTTCATGTCAATTTGCAGTGTTTTAAAAGAAATGGATGGAATATTCAAACTCTTTCTGAAACAGGATAGCTGGTGCAGCTTTGGTAGTCACTGTAATCAATTTTTGGTGGCCTTCTTTTCCTCCCAAGCTGGCAAATGAAGTCTTCATGAACCAGCTCAAAAGAGACCAGGTGAAACTTAGTATAGCACACCATATGCCCGGGCTGGTTTACTTGTGGACGACCCAGAAATTGTTCCCTTATTGTGCCATCATGCAAAGACACCCAATACTTCTCAACAAGAGAGATGTTGCAACCGTGATGGAAATGTCAAAAGTACCTAATCTTGATGAGGTAGGTAGTCTCTAATTCCACAACAAGGTCTTTTACCGAGTTTTGAGTACTGGTTTCCCTAACAAGTTTATGTTACTAATCTCAGCATAAGATAAGGCAGCAAGGAATGCATGAATCCCTTCACCGGGACATCATCGTGCATTTTGGAACATGGGAGTTCGACCCAATGGAGCTGAAAAATCCTTTTCCCAACAACGAGGCCTCTGTTTACTTGTGGGAAGGTCATGAAGACAAGCTGGTGCCATTTGAACTGCAGCGCTATGTTGCAAAGAAGCTGCCTTGGATCAAGTACCATGAAGTCCCAGATGGTGGTCATCTGATGATTCATGAAAAGGGTTTATGTGAGGCTATCTTCTGAGAACTACTGCTTGGAGAGGAACCCTCCATTTGATAATTAGCCCTGTTCACCTGCCAACTGGGGAAACATGCTCAAAATACACATTATCTATTTGAATTGACATCAGTGAATCATGTAGAATTAACATTCCATGGAAATTAATGTACTTAACCTTCTATTTTATTAAAACAAATTGCATTGCAACAAGAAGGTTTCACTCCTCAGGACTGGAAACAAAGAGAAGGATAACCAATCTAGCTAGCAGCATAACCAACTACACATTTATTGAGACACTAAACAACATTTATTGAAACACTACACTAGAACATGGTGAGCCTGGGAAATTTTGCCTTTCTGCAGATAAATTGGGCGTCCTTAAATTTCTCCGTGACTCAGGCAGAAGGGTTCATATTTTTGTAAAATTCCATCACCCAAAAGTTGTAAGCAGGACATATCTGTTTCAAAGCTGAGAAACCTGCTTCTCTTGCCAAAGCCTCATACTCTTTCTTTGTCCTCTCTTTCGCCCCAGAGAACGACTGAAACATTCTTATGTCTAACTCAAAGACAATTTTGTCGATAAGATCACTCACAGGTGATTCTGGTGCTAAAAATTCCATCACCACCACCTTACCTGAATCTGGTAAGGCATCATAACAATTTTTGAGTAGCTTCAAGCAGTGATCATCATCCCAATTGTGAAGTATCCACTGTTCAAATTTTTATGCACAAACCTTAAATTCAATTCACTAGAATATATAATTCCCTAAAATAATCCATGGTACTAATGACAAACATATATATACTTTGGTTTTGTTCTGTTTCGTACAATGAACTGCTATGTTAGGTTTGTGTGTTTTTTTTTTTTTTTTCAAAAACATACATGGAAACAAAATCACTAACCTTCAAGATAATGGTTTGCCCTTGAGGAACTTTAGTGAACATGTTTCCTCCAATGTATTCCACACCTAACAAGAAATTGATAAAAGTATATGAAACAGCACCGAGGACGAGCTAGAAAATTATCTTAGCGAGGTGAGGTGTCATTTGAAATGTATATGCTAAAAATAAATTGTTTGACTTGTAAACTAAATTAGGAAGTAAACATACAAAAACTAAAATTTGAAGAATTTTAAATATAAAAAAAATTGTTAAAATTTATGCATATTTAAATTTCAAATTGAAACACAACTTCTATCACAAAATATTATTCAATATAATTTAAATAGTAAAATTAAATGTTTTGAAAAATTAACAATACTAATTTTAAATTAATTTTATTTTACTGTTTGATACAAATGGTCATTAATCATGTACATATTACAATGACAAACATGTCTAATAAATAAAAATATTTTTATAAATCTATTTTATTTGTTAAGTGATTAGTGACTTATCATAAGATATATAAAAGAATAAAAATTATAACACATTTTATTTTTTTAAGAAAGGTTTATTTGACTTTTTAAAAAAGAATAGGACCTATTTAACTTTTTTCCAAAGCCCAGGGGCGGCGAGTGCCCCATTGCACCCCCCCTACCGTCCCTGGTCACCTGAATTTGATGTAAAAATTTAACGTAATTGAATTTAATGTAACTGAATCCAATTTAGATTACCTGGAAAAGGGGACCCATTCTTAATAACATGTGGCAAATCAAAGTTAATACCCTTTATCTGGGGATACTTGGAGACTATCGACTTAAGAGTTGTACCCACCCCACCACCAACATCTACCAGCTGCTCTAAACCCTCAAATCCCTTGTAAGTTTCTAAAACCTTTTTCATGACTAGGGAACTGATGTTGCTCATCATTTTATTGAAGACGTTATTCATTTTCTCATCTTTCTTAGCGTACTCATACACCGGCATCCCAAATGCCTTCTCAAACGGTACACCACCATCAATTACTGCCTCTTTTAAGTAACACCTGCGTTAAAGAAGAGCACTTTTTCTTATGATTGTCGTCTAATAGAATCATAAATGTTTTCAAGTAATAAATAAAAATGCGCTGTTGGGATTTAGGAAGAAGAAACCAATTAACCTACCAATGATCAATGCTATATTTTTCCATTTGGAACTGTAGCAAGGGAGCAAAAGAAATTCGGTCTTCATTTTGAAGGAAGTATTTGCCCACTGGTGCTAAACCATATACTCTATGGGAACGTCCTTCCATATCAGTGACAAGAGTGCATGTGAGGATGGAGTGGCTAGCCAGAAGGCAGAGCATGCGGTCTATAACTGATATGGCGTCAGGATTTTGTGCTTGAAGGTGAGAGGCAATCTCAGCAGACGAGAGCTTACGACCTTCTAGGCTAGCTTTTGCCATGATCTCTAACAAATCAAGATCGATTGCAGATTTCAAGACCAGAGGAATGACTGTAGCGTTTGCCAATTGCATTGCTCGCAAGCAGTTTTCCTCTTCATCTGATAATTCTCGTTTCTCTTGAAATGAACTCATGTTGCTTAAGTTTGCTACGAAATAATCCAATTCAAGAGCAAAGATGCAAGGAGGCTTGTTGTGTGTGTGCATAGATATATACTTGTCATGAGAAGTCTACTAAAGCCTATTGTAACCACACTGTAAACATGGTTAGGTTGGGATTAATTTGATCAATTTCATGGTAGGTAAGTTTTGTCATTTTTATTCCAAGTCAGAGAACCGTGTGTATCTTATCAGGCATAGATATATACTTGTCATGAGAAGTCTACTAAAGCCTATTGTAACCACACTGTAAACATGGTTAGGTTGGGATTAATTTGATCAATTTCATGGTAGGTAAGTTTTGTCATTTTTATTCCAAGTCAGAGAACCGTGTGTATCTTATCAGAAACAGTAATTGCTATCACCAAACAAATAATTAATATAGGACCGAGGTAGGTTAGCACTATAACGCAAAATTATGTGGTAGGACTTATTAACTTTACTAAATATCGTAGAATTCCCTGGTTGGAGCAGCAGCCACGTTTCTCTGAAATGAGTAATTGATGGAACGCATTTAGCTCCATAAGTTGAGTTTCATATTTGATTTTTTTTAATAGATATTAATTTAATAATGTATTTTTTTGTTAAAAAAAATCTTACTAAATATAGTAAATTAGTACTTTTAAAAATATTAATTTTATGTAAGAAAAATAATAAATAACTATAATTATTAATAAATAATTAATATTTTACAATACTATTCAAGAAAAAATAAAAAATTACTTGACATTTTTTTTTTATAGTAGTGATAGTTATCTAGAAATGTGGGAATTATTTAAAAAAGATGCTCAACTTGAGGGAAAAAAAAATTAAATATCAACTTTAATCCCTAAATTTTTAATTTTGAATAGGTTGAAATACTAATTTAGTCTCTTAATTTTTAGATTTGTGCTAAAATTATTTTTAAACTTCAAAAAAAAAAAAAACTAAAATTATCCATAAACTTTAATTTTCAATACCAAAATAGGCTTTTTGATAACAAAAGTGTCATGTAACTCATTATTTTACCACAAAATTAGTTGTTTTTTAAAATATTAATAACTTATAAAATCAAATAACCATATTTCCCCATCATGGTATCAAAGTTGAAGGACCAAATTGAAACTTATAATTAAAGTTCAAGGACTAAATTAGTATTTACCTTCAAAGTTCATGGACTATGTTAATTTTGATATGTAAATAGAAATGTGTTACAATAGCAAAAATGATTATTTTTAATATTTTAAAAAAGAATTGATTTTGTAATAAAACAATGAGTCACGTAAGGCTTTTGTTAATAAAAGGATTATTGTGGTATCAAAATTAAAGTTTAGGAATAATTTTGATATTTTTTAAAGTTTAAGGATTATTTTGATATAAATTTAAAAGTTGAGAGACCAAATTGGTATTTCAAATTTTTTGAATATTTTTAAGTTCATAATTTATTTTTGCACTTTTTTAATTCATAAACTATGAAAAATATATATTTTTTATCATTCCATTAATTAATCTATTAAATATGTTTATCCATATATCTCCAAACTTAAAAGTTTAGAAATTAAAAATTTACATATATTGTACATTGAAAGACTAACAATATATATTTCAACAAACTTAATGGATTAACAGATAGAAAAACAAAAGGTATGCATTTTTTAAAGTTGAAAAACGAAAAAATGTACAAAAAAATTTGAGGATAAAATTTTTCTAAATTTAAAAATTAAAGGACTCAATTTGACATTTAACCAAAAAAAAACGTAAAAGACTGAGATATGAATCAAAATTGCAGTGTTTGGGCTTAATGAAGCTCGGTCCAGCCCAGAATTTGGACCAAATTAACTCAACCCATTCAAATTAAGTTTACCTCCATTTAGCCAATCATTTAAATATTT